TGTTGGGGTGGGATTGGGTGATCCTTGGGGATCCCTTCCCACTCAGGATATTCCATGACACTGATGCAGAAATGATTCAAATGGAACTATTGCAGGGAAATGTCTTGTTGATGTGACTTCATGAGATACAAAACAAGGTTTGACCCTGGGGGTGTCAGGATCCACTCCTGGAGTTCCTTTTATTAAGGAACTTTCTTTAATCAAGGAACTGTTGTTGCTTTGAGTATCAAACCCCAGTTCTCCATGTTACACCTCAGCACTGAAATGCCTGTGCTGGCTGTGAAAAGCACCAATGGATTTGTGGCCTTGTTTTGTGACCTTGCCCTACAGAGGAATCCTGGGTTTAACACAGCTCAAAGCTCCCCGTTTGCTCTGCCCTCCTGGGTTGTTTTCTTAAGCTTTTCTGAGCTCTCCATGGGCAGGGCAAGCCCAGCTCTCCCAGCAGAGCCAGGAAAAGAGGCCCTGCTGTTCTTGGGCTGCTGCTGTGCTGAGCCGTGCTCAGGGATGAAAAGGGGCTTTATCAGCAAGGAGGGTGAGGAGCTGGAGCTCCTGGTGGGAACAGCTCTGCAATTTGAGCTCTGGTGCTAGGAAAGAAATGAACTGAGATGTAAATGGGGATGTCACTTGTTCATAAAGTCTGTGTCCCCAAAGCCGGACTGGAGAGGTGCCTGGAGACAGATCCTTCTTCCCCCCATCTCCATCTGCCTTTGTCACAGAATCTTTTATGAAAAAACCTTTCCTTAGGATTTTTCCTCCTGAGAAGCTGAGAGGCCTCAGGAACAAAATGCAAACAATGGCTATCTGCTGTTGTGGAATGCAACAGGTGCATCTGTGATTGGTCTCATGTGGTTGTTTCTAATTAATGGCCATTCACAGTCAGCTGGCTCAGACTTTCTGTCCCAGCCACAAACCTTTGTTATCATTCTTTCTTTTTCTATTCTTAGCCAGCCTTCTGATGAAATCCTTTCTTCTATTCTTATAGTATAGTTTCAATGTAATCTATATCATAAAATAATAAATCAGCCTTCTGAAACATGGAGTCAGATCCTCATCTCTTCCCCAACCCAAGCACCCCTGTGGACACCATCACACGCCTTTTGCCACAGAGCTGCAGACACAACTCACCAGAGCCCAGTGAAACCTTTCAGAACTTGGCTTGCAGGCCCAGAGTGGGATGTGCTGGCTGAGCTGAGCTCTGGGGAGTGGCAGGCAGGGTGTGAGGCTGTGCTGGGCCACATCTGCAGGTTCTGCTTGGAGCCAGAGGGTGCTGGCACTGCCCAGGCTGCCCAGGGAATGGGCACAGAGCTCCAGGAGGGTTTGGACACCAGGGATGGAATTGCTGGGATGTCTGGGCAGGCCAGGGCTGGGACTGGATCATCCTTGGGGGCCCTTCCCACTCAGGACATTCCCTGATTCTCTGATTCACTCAGGGATGCTGAACTGTCACGGGAGGAAACTGAAACTGGGCTCTGGCAATGCCACTTTACATAATTCATTACTGAAGGAAGAGGTCAGAGTATTGGGTGCTGTGATGGTGGCCTGGCACTGCACTGCAGCAGGAAAGGCCTTTATTTCTTTATTTCTGCTCAGCTAAAACAATCCCCCTCACCCTCTGGGTGGCCATGGGGCTTAAAACCTCAACCTCAATCTGCTGGATCTTTATTTTCAGCATCAGCAGTGTCTTGAGCACAGTTCTGTGCTGCTGGGCAGGAAATTGGGAGAGCAGCCTCAGGTAACTCACCTTTTTTTGGGTGTCCATCTCCAGGAGGTGAAATGATTCTGCTCATTGTGATATCCTTGTGGTTTCCATTACATATTGATGTCCCAGTGTGACTTGATCTCCCTAATACCAGCAGGGCTGTGTGGGTTTGGTTTTTCAGGCTCTCCTCATGCAGTCCCTCATGGGCTCCCAGCCTGGGATCTGATCCCTTTGCACTTTGACCTCTTCAGGATCTTCCAAAAAAATTAAAATTAGGGATATTTGTATTGCTAATTATCTTTTCTAAAACATTACTGGTACATTTCAAACAGCATATATTCAAAAAATGTAAAATATCTTTGCATTCTAAGCTCATTATTATTTTGGGTAATGCATATCAGGACACCTTAAGTTAAAAGTGGTGTAGGAACAAGAGGTTTTGCAATTCTTGTGTCTTCCCAGTGTTCCAGGAGGAAGCTGGAGTGGGAGAAACCAACACTTGGAGAAAGTGGAATGCTGGATGATATTTCTTGAGTTTTATTACACCTGCTAAAAACTGACTGCTGCCAAGATGCTGCAGAAAATTCTCAAATGAACAATAGAAAATGTCAGGGCTGTCACCACATGGGGGTGGTAATAAATTCAATAAAGTGAGGCTGGAATTGGTGCCGGAGTCCGGCAGCGTTCGAGGCTCCCGGGCTCTGAGGAGGGGCTCTGGTGCCATCTAATGTCCCGAGGTTTAAATGCAGCTGCAGAGCGGGATTGGCGTTGGAAATCCAGGTTTGTGTTTGTGTGTTGATCCCAAACCTGTTCTCCTTTCTCCTCCTGACAAACAAACGCTGTGTAAATTCCTCTGCTGTTAATCTGGAATTATTCTGAGTTCTCCTCATAGGTTACTTTCAATAAAATGGGAGCTTGTTTGGAAACATTTTCTAACTGAAACATTATTTTTAAAATAACATCAAGTTATTTTCTGTCTTGTTTGCAGAAAGAATCAAAGAGCCGGGTAGGGATAGGAATGGTGTAGTTTAGGGTTGTTTGCACACAGAAATTTTTAGGAATTTTTCCTCTTGTGTAGCAGCACTGATGATTCCAAAGTGCAAAAAAGACATTGCTGGAGCTGGGAGGCTGCAATTCCCTCCTGGGCTTTTGTCTTTGTTTAATTTCAAGTGTGATCAGACCTCTCAGTGAGGGCTTCAGAACTTCTGCTCCTCTGTCATGAGCTGGGCCATGGACAACTACAGAATGTAAATCCCCTTTATGAAATTAAATTAAATTTGCTCCTCACACTCACGTTCACTTATAGCGAGTGTAAATGCCACATTGTGGGTCTGGCAGTGAGGCTGAGGCAGAAATCTCCTCTGTAGGTGCTGGAACTCCAAGCCAGCCCTGCGTTGTTGTCCCTGTGCCCTCAGGTCTCTGCTGCTGTGCCAGTGCCCAGGGTTTTCCTGTCCTGTTTCCACTGTGTCCTGAACCTCTGCTTTTGTCTGATTCCTGCCTTTTGTGTGCTCTGGGCAGCTTCGAGAAGGGCCGGATTTACACCTTTATCGGGGAGGTGGTGGTTTCCATGAACCCTTACAAGAACCTGAACATCTACGGGCGGGACACGATCGAGCAGTACAAGGGCAGGGAGCTCTACGAGCGGCCTCCCCACCTGTTTGCCATCGCCGATGCTGCCTACAAAGCCATGAAGAGACGATCCAAAGACACCTGCATCGTCATCTCAGGTAGGTGAGAGGGCTCTGCATGGTGATGAGCATCTGATCCCTGTGAAATTCCAGGCGGAAGGAGAATAATGGTTTGCCTAATGACAGCGTTTTATAAAAGAAACTTCATTAAGCTTCAAGCTGCTCATTTGCATTTGAATCCGTGTGTGGAGATCGGCACAATTATTTCTTATCTCATTCAAGAGCTGGTGCCAGCCAGGAGCTGGATCTGTGCCTGCAGAGGGATAATGTGAGCAGGAGCCCTGGGTC